GCTCCCAAGGAGCAGGGAGCCCGATGCGGGACTCAATCCCAGGACCCTGGGATCATGACCTGAGCCGAAGGCAGACACTTAACCATCTGAGCCACCCAGGCGCCCAGCTTACCTGATTTCTTGACTTTCTTGACCCACAGCAGAGGCGATTCCAGAGTAGCTGCACAACCCTGCCCACCCAGAGTCCCGCTCAGCACTTGAAGGGACCAGCCTGAGAGCCGAGGCTTTAGTAGCCAGCCAAGCACTCCCCCAGGAACCAGCACCCAGGAAAAGGAGCTTCTTCAACCCTGTCGTGACCCCTACTGCCCACAGCATTAAGTCTGATCTCTTTGACTGCCTTCAAGGCTGTGGAGTATCAGCTCCTTCCACAGCATCCCCTTCCAGACCTTCCACACACACATATTACTCCAGGCAAAGTAAGTTGCTCACAGTTTACAGCCTTCTAGACTCTGCGCCATCTCTATATATCCATCCTTCAAAGCCAAGCTCAGATTCTGCCTCTTCCAGGAAGCCTTTCCTTCCCTTGCCCTGCTTCTGAAAGTTTAAAGTCTAGGCTTTTAATATATCTCTGTTGAAGAAAAGGTCAGCTTCATCCTGTGAATTTCCTCAAGCTTTGACCCTTTCTTAGAGCCCCATCACTTTCTGACTCAGCCATTTGCATGTCTAATAGCACAACAAGGGCAGGGACTAGGTCTGAGAGTGTTCTGTGTCCCCAGCACAAGAGCCACCACAGTGTAGGTACTCAGCGGGGGGAGGGGGAGGCTGAAAATTAGGTGGATGAAGGAACAGAGGCAGTGGATGGATGGGGAGATAAATGGATGAGTGAATGAATTAACGAATGGAAGGAAGAATGTGTATAAATTTGTCAAGGGCTGGGATATTTGTCCTTTTGTTTACCGACATATCCCAAGTACCTAGTACAGTGTCAGTCACAAAGTAAACACTCAATAAATATTTGTTAGATAAATTAAATGGTGGATGAATAGTGAAATTGATTGATGGATAGAGACCAGGATTATGATTGCATAGGTGGATGAATAGGCAAAGGATGGATAGATGGGAAAATGGATGGACCAATGAGTGACTAAGGGAACAGGTAGGTAGATGGGTAGATGTAAAGACAAATGAATTAATGAACAAATGAATTAATGAATGAGTAGAAGATCTTTTCTACTGCCACCTATACCAGACATGGTGTGCTGATCTGGGGCTGAAGCAGGAGTATTTGAAGCCCTCCTAACTTTAGCCACTTCCCCTAGTACTGAGGTGAGTGGATAAGAGTTGATGTGCCAAGCAGGCCCCTCTACTCCCCCAGACTTCTGTTCCCCTAGGCTGGGCCGAGCCCCCAGCTCCCATCACCAGCACCAAGTACCTGAGGCAGTACCCCGTGGTCTAGAAGCCACAGACCCCACAAAAACTGGCTGGTATGCGGATGCCGCCAGCAGTGTCGGACCCCGTGCCCAGGATGGAACCCCCTTGTGCCAGCATGACTCCCTCACCCCCCGAGGAGCCCCCAGGTGTCTTCTTTAAATTCAGAGGGTTCAGGGTCCGTCCATAGATGGGGTTGCTGCAATAAAAGCCGAGGGAAACAGAAGAAAAGGGGCTGGGAGGTGAAAGTTTAACTGGGGAAATGTCCCTCCCCGTGTAGAGACTGAACCCCTCAGGAGTCAACCCCGGGCCTGCTTTGGCTCACATGCTCCTCCCCAGGGCTGAGCCCTCCTAGTCTCCTATACGGCTGAGGTGAGGGCCCACTGCCACAAGGAAGACCAAGAGTGGACACCAACCACAGCTGCTAACTTAAGGACAGGAGCCCCCAGCCCTGCTGTCAGAATTGGGAACAGGGGGGCGCCTGGGTGGCTCAGATGGTTAAGCGTCTGCCTTCGGCTCAGGTCATGATCCCAGGGTCCTGGGATTGAGTCCCGCATCGGGCTCCCTGCTCCTTGGGAACCTGCTTCTCCCCCTGCCTTTCTCTCTCTCTGCCTCTCTCTCTCTCTCTGTCTCTCATGAATAAATAAATAAAATCTTAAAAAAAAAAGAAAAAAAAATTGGGAACAGGTTCCTCACAAAAGTAGGTACGCTAAATGCTATGGGAGAGGAGAGAAAAGCTGGGATAAACACAAAGATGAAACTCTGCAGAACCTCAGAGCCTGAGGGCCTGTAGAGACTATGAAGTCCACCCACACATTATAAGATGAGGAAACCGAGGCTCAGGGGGCAGGAAAGACTTGCCCAAGAACCTCGGTCCTCACGGTCTGCTTGACTGGCCCTCACCTCACCCTCTGCCCTGAATCAGGACTTTACGTTGCTGTCAGTCCTGGGCCCACCTCCAAACCCAGCCCCGTCTACCCACTTCAGAGACCTGAGCAGTGTCTGGGGGATGTTGGTCTTAACGAAGGGAATAGCTCCCTGAGCCTTGAGCACTTTCACAATGACCCCATCCTTGGCCGTGGGCTTCTCCAGGAACTGGGCCAGGCCACACATAGAGTCATGGCCCTGCAAGGAAGTGACATTAACCCATAGGGGTCAGGAGGCAACCGCCCAGTGGACAGACTCTCCTCCTCACTCTGCTCCCACCCCACGCATTGTCACGGCCTCTGAGACACACGTGCTGCACCCTTAGGAGCATTCACCCGAGTGGCAGAAGACCATGGTGGGTCAGAGCCAGACTACTGGGTTCAGATCCCAGCTGCCACTTTCTAGTTGTGCACCCTTGATTACATAACTCGCCCAATGTCACACACTCAGATGCTCACAGGCTCAGTGACGTATGGGCACACACACATATGTGTACGCATGTGAACCCGGCCCGCCTTGCAGTCATAGGTGTCCTTGAGGCTGATGGGGACCCCATAGAGAAGGCCTCTCTCAGTCTTCTTGAGGTTCTTCAATGCCTGCAGTTCCTCCTCACACTCGCCCAGGAAATCCGTCAGGCAGTTTTACCTTCTTATGTACCTTCAGGGCCTGAGCAACATTGAAGGAGACCAGATAAGGGGCTCAGGTTGAAGCAAGACATGGGGTACTCAGTCACCCACCACCCTGACTCAGAGCAGAATAGAAATGACCAATGACTGTGGCATGTACCCCCCTCCCAAGCCGGCTATAGCGCCATGATGTTACACCGGCCCCCACATCTTGTGAGGAAGACAACAGGTGACAGCCCCCACCCCACTCCTGACCCAACCCCCATCTCCTCTAAGTAGCTACAGAGGATGCTCTCCAGACTGAACTCTTCATCCTGCAGCTTCTGGGCCAGACTCTCCAGGGGGCAGCTCCAGGATGGCCTTGGGGTTCAGGGAGGGTTCCTGTGGAGATGGGAGGGCAAAGGTCAATGACTGATTCACTCCAGTCCACTCGCACACTCTCAACATCACCTCCCCACACCCCACCGGATACGCAGTTGCACACCCATCCATGTGTTGCACACGCTCCTGGACTCATCCTTAGCATGAAAAACATTTCCTGATCGGTCTCCAGGTTGGCATGAAAGTCCTGGATGTTCCCTCTGTCTCTGCCTCCCCAGTGCCCATGGGCACAGAGGAGGGCCTGCCCCCTTGTGTTGCTACCCAGAAGGGGCACAACAGCAGTGGGCGTGACTCTGTCTGCACGTTTTGGGACTCAGGGGTTATGGAAGTGAGGTTCATCTCTGTAGGGTTTGCCTTCAGGGGCGCACCCCAACATCCCAACTTTCCTTCTTATCCAGCCTTCCCACTCCTGGTGATCTGACCTGGGGAAGGGCATCTTAGTGCCTGAGCTCAGAACTCCCCGACCTGTATGCCTCAAGGACTTTCAGAAGGGCCCAGACACGGATCCCTCTAGAAAAGAGTGGGCAACTGGCTAGAATGCACCTCAATGGCTGCATTGTGGCTAAAAGGAAATCCTTCTGAGTCACTTAGCAAAAAGCCACTCCCACAAGTTTCCCACCACCCCCAGCTGCCCTAGCCCCTGCCATGGGACTCTGCCCTCTCTTCACAGTCCAGCAGGTAAAAGGTTAATGCCCGGGCTAGCAGGGACCCTCAAGGCACAGCCCCTGATTCCCTCAAGGACTCTGAAGAGCCAGCTTGAGCTCATCCCTTGCCCTGCTCCCCCCAGCCCTAAGGAGCCCCAGTAGGACCCTCCAGGGACCATCCCAGCACATGCTGACCCCCAGGCACACCCCAAGACTACCTGTCAGCCCCCAATTCCTACATATCTACCTGGAGAGATGACACCCCTCTGGGCAAGTGCCCAGTATCCATCTGGACTCCTGAGGTTACCGCTCCCCTGCGGTTGTCCTCACATGGCCACTTGTAAAAATGGAAGCCTCTCAGGGAGCTGGGGAGAGGTGGGGAGAGCAAGCAGAGGGAGCTCATGGCCACTGGAGGCGGCTGCTGGGACTGCCCCTTTGCTGGCATGGCAGGCGCTCCAGTGACTTGGTGGGATGGGCGGGGCTGCCAAGGGCCCAGTAATACAGCCACCAACCCAGTTAGTGTCCCTTCCGTAATAGAACAAATTCATCGAAACTCACCAAACACCTGCCCAGCAAGGATAACATTAGTTTTATCATTACTACAGTGAGAGCTAGTGAATCGTGTAAGACTGATGAATCACAGACCTTACCCCTGAAACAAATAATACATTATATGTTAATAAAAAATAAAAATAAAAAAATAAAGTGAAAGCTCTCACTTAGGTAGTGCTTGCTGTGTACCAGGCACCACTGTAAACATTATGAACTCACTCGAGTACTATAATTATAATCATCACCCCATTGTAGAGATGAGGATGTTAAGGCACAAAGGAGTTTTTTTTAAAAATAGATGCATCAGGGGCACCTGGGTGGTGCAGTCGGTTGGACGATTTTTTTTTTTTAAGATAGACTATTTTTTTTAAGATTTTATTTATTTATTTCCAGAGAGAGAGAGAGAGCAAGAGCACAAGCAGGGGGAGCGGCAGGCAGGGGGAGAAGCAGGCTCCCCGCTGAGCAAGGAGCCCGATGTGGGTCTCGATCCCAGGACCCTGAGACCATGACCTGAGCCGAAGGCAGCCGCTTAACTGAGCCACCCAGGTGTCCCTTATGATGGCATTCTAATAACAATGTTTATGACTTAGCTGACAACAGAGATGCTTGATTATTAGAATCTCAGCATTAGAACAGCTAGAGGATTGTGAGTGTAATTGCTACAGGTTTGGCAGAAGCCAAGCAAGGACTCAATACAAGGAGTGACATCAATGATGTCGACAGAAAGTCTCTATTTAATGAGACTACAAGTCACCTAATGACTCTCAGTTTATTGGGAGAGCTTTGAAAGATAGGGAAATCTTCCGAAGATGTGAGCCACATCAAAAGATCCCCACAAGTTTTCTATAAATTAACAGATCACTTGGAAATTATTAGGATTAAGTGGATAGAAGAACTGAGCCTCAACTTATTTCACTTTCAAGTCATTTTAACATATACTCTGGTTTAGAACAAATCCCCCTCCTGCCACGTCCCACGGCTCCACAGCCCCATCTGGCCTTCTCCACACTCACTGGTGCTGCCTCCTATCATGGTTTAAAAATCAAAGAAAATATATTTTAAAGTTGTTAGTTAATTGATGTATTATTAATGTTTCCAAAGCAGTTGTGAAACATGTTTAATATCGTCAAAACCTTCAACCGTCAGGGGGGCTCATGTCCTCCTGAGGTGACCAGAGCTTCCTAGCCAGCAGCCTTCAGCCATGAGCAGCTTGTCCATTTACCCCGGTGGACTCTGAGTATTATTTTCTATGCGCTCTACAGAAACACTGCCTTATCTCAGGCTTTTCTCTCTCCGGAACTGTCTTTCCTCTTCCTTCCTCCTTTTGGAAAAGTCCTACACATCCTGTAAGGCTCAGCTCCAACACCACCTCTCCATGAAGCCTTCCCCACCCAACCCTCTCCAGATGGACCAAAGCCCTTCCTGCCGGGTCCCATAGATCCGTGGGCATTTGGCCCTCACCACACTCAGCTGAGCTGCCTCCTATCACAGTTTGCATAGCTCTGTTCCCACCATGCTACACTCAGACCGGGAGCATCTTTAAGGCAAGTTGAAGTCAGATGTCAGATTCATCCTGATTATGAATCTGTCTCCAAGGCCCAGCAAAAGGCAAGACCAGAGGAGCCCTCTATAAGATGTTGCTAAGTTGAACTGAATTGGATTTGTTTGAACCCTGCCAGGGTTTGACCTATGTCTCAGCCTCCTACCTCCCTGGGACATAAAGCTGGACACCTGAGGCCTTGAGGGTATCCTTGGCAGAGGGGAAGGTGCCCAGGATGGACCTGTGTAGCTTTGTTGGGAAGAGAATAAGGTACTGAATGCCAAGAGGTCTGTAGCCTTGGGGGAAAGCTGGAGACACCAGGGACGACCTCACCCGAAACCCCTTCCACTCCTCCAGCCAAGCAGACACACACCACCCCCACCAGGTACCCAGCCCAAGAGCTCTACATACCAGATGCCCACACATATACCAAGCAGATGCCCAGACCTACACAGAAGCAGATGTCCTCACATGTCAGACACCTGACCACACAGGCACATGCTCAACCAAACATTCAGACCCAAACCAGCCACACATATCTAGATGTACACACTCCCATCTGTAACACAACACATACACACCCAGCCAGGCACACACACCACAAGCCCATAACCAAACACAAGCAGCACACAGCCAGGCACACCACTCAACCAGCTCACAATAACAAGCCAGCAGGAGGCACCCATAAGCAGGTTCTGGTGTGTGCAGTGAAGGAACCCAAATACACCACCGTGCACGTGCATGCACACACACACACACACACGCACACGAATCCTCTCCATCACACTGATTCACCACAGCAACCCCATTAGCCCAGATTTCTTGCTCACCAACCAGGGAGGGGCAGCTGCTCTCTGGGGGCAGATTGATTTATCCAACTAATTAGCCCCAATTAATATTAATACACATTCTCAGGAACTGCAGCAGTTCGGGCAGAGAAGCTGCCCCTTGGGGCCATCAATCACCATCCAGGGGACGGCAGAGGACATTCAGGAGCTCCAGAGCATGGGGATAGCACCTCAGGCATTATCCCCAGCCCCCACTCCCAGAGCTCCCAGGGAGTCTTCCACCATCAACCACAGTTGGGGACCCTAAGATACCATGAGCCCACCCCTCGTAGGGCAGTTGGGGAGCCCAGGAAGGGGCTGTCACGTCTTCCAGGCCCCACAGCAGACCCCAAACACAATGGAAGGTGGGCTGCCTCTCCTTCCCACCCTGCTCTCTGCTACTCTAGGCAGGTTCTGCTGCGACACCCACAGCTCAGTCCCTTTACCTTCAAGTCCCAGCCCAGCTGCGATGATTGACCCAGTGCCTTGAAATGTCCCCACCTAAGCTGTCAAAAGTCCCTTTTAAGACACAGAGCTTCCTGGGAGCACCCCATCTCCAGTGACCACCCTGTGCTTTGCATGTATCAGGTGCTCTCAAACATTTGCAGAACCCAGTGGCAGGGGGATGGGAAGGAGAACGTGTAGACCCGGGTTCCTGTGTCAGTGGGGTGTGGGAATACTCTGGGGCTAAAAGAGACCTGAAAGAAGACCTCCTGCCTCCAATTGCTTCCATCAGTTTATCTTATTTCTTTTCTTTTCCTTTTTTTTTTTTTAAAGATTTTATTTACTTATTTGACAGAGAGAGACACAGCGAGAGAGGGAACACAAGCAGGGGGAGTGGGAGAGGGAGAAGCAGGCTTCCCACTGGGCAGGGAGCCCGATGCAGGGCTCAATCCCAGGACCCTGGGATCATGACCTGAGCCGAAGGCAGTCGCTTAACCACTGAGCCACCCAGGCGCCCCCTTGGGGCGCCTATCTTATTTCAACAAAAAGCTCAAGTGAACACCCGCCATGTTACTGAGTCCCGTGCGGGCACTGGGAGAACAAAGAAAACCCACGGCCGGCCCCCAA